TTCTAAAGAACCGTTTAATTGTATATGATAAAGTTTACTCTACATATTTCTTACAGTATTTCTTTTTTTTTCAAGTACCATTTCGATGTTTTACTATAATGTTTCTATTCTTTATTTATGATTTATGACTTCTGCAGTATTTTTATATATATTTTTCTTTCCTCTCAAAAGGTTTATGTTCATTGTTTATGTTTAGTGTCTGCACTCTACATCAAGACAAATATCTATAAGTAAACAACCTTATATAAAACCTTATATATGTACTTATAAATTACAAGAATATGTTTCTCATGAATTGATGCAATGACATTGATTTTGTCATTGAATTGCTTAACTCTGTTTAATGTAATTCCAAAACTCTGTATTTATTTAATAATAATACATTTTAGCAGTTGTTCTAAAATGGTTTCAGGGCATTGCACTCTATAAAGGAGAAAATATCAAATGTGCTGACTGTGTCCATGTGTGTAAAACTATTCATACTTTCCACACGTCCTCTCCTGTTTCAGCCGTGATGATTTTACCAGCAATCCCCACATTCCCTCTATATTAGCTTGTGAAAAATGCACTGCATATTTCTCAGACTCTCTCTTTACCTTTTATTAAAGTAAACCTGCCATCCGTCGACAGGAGCCACATCTGTCATCAGGCGGCAGTTTATAAGTAGGCATATAAAGTAATAGCTCCTAGGTTTGGGTTTTTATCAGCCTGTATTAAATCCTCACAGGAGGGTATTCTTCCGACCTCTCAGTTTAGTCCCAGTTGTCCAATAGGCTGGATGGCTTTCACAGAACAGCGGATCCTTTCTATTTTTACCACAAATCCCTGCAACTTCTAATATGAGAGCGCTGTAGCCAACTGCACATACAATAGAAGAAAGCATGCAGAGACACCATAAATAACATGTCTGCGGGCAAAATGTTTGGTTCAAAGTTGAAAACGTTGATGGAATCTATTAAAGTGAAGGAAAAAGTTGTGGATAAAAGCTATCTGTGTTGAGAATAAAGGGGAAAAAAGGTCACAGACATAGTAACTCCACTTCATCAGATGTGAATGCTTTGTTATAATCACCCAATCCATCAAATCCAGACCAAAGCAGTTAAACTGCGGTTTTACATATGATATAAAACCTCTCAACGAGATAAAGGGGATTTTATTTGATATCAGATGTAAATGCAGTGGTCTGAGTTCACTGGTGTGGAGACAAGGCAAGCCAGAAACCGCAAACCGAACATTAAACTTATTTCATATTTGTGTCTTCTAAGCATGATTACTGAACAATATGACAAAAGTCTTAAAACGAGGGAACAGATTCATAAAAGGATGTGACTTTGTTCGATGTATCAATTCATGGGAGAGATCAAGTAGAGCAAGGCTTCCCTTTATCTACAACCCTACCCAAGTTGCCAATGTTCATTTCAAATGTAGGGATATCGTTCAACTATCACTGATATGAGAAAGGATAGTGCGGATATCAATGGATTGATCAATGCGTAGGTTTTTTAAGTTTCCATTTGCAGTACCATTGCTTTTAGATAATTATTTCAACAACTTCTTGTGGACCTAATGTAACTCCTGGCTAGGCTGGATATGAATATGTAGACACTAACATAGTTAGGAACTCAAACGATTGAAATGTCTTTATCGAAATGACATAGTGTAGATAGAAAACTGAAAAAAGAAACTGTCACGATTTGGCAATCAAGCCTTTGTCAGGGAGTCAAACACGTCAGAGTTCGTACTTATTAAGTCTTACATCATGCCATTGTAATAAAGGTGTTTTTTTATTGTTTCAAAAGAAAGTTCCCCTGGAGTGTTCTTATGAGATCTTTTAGAGATAAAGAAAAAGGTTGATCTTATCAGTTTCAAAATGCTACTGCTTAATCTTGGGCCTGAAAAGGGAGGTACTATCTCAGAAAAATGGAAGATATGCATATTTCAGTTTAGCTTAACGAATAGCCTCATTTAACTTTGTTCACAGGTATAGTGTGACATTTCCACTCCACCACAAGCACGACACCATGTCCTCAGCTGTTTCACTTCTGCTCTTCACTCTCACATGGGACATCCTGTCGAAAGCATCTGCTTCTGCAGCCACTAAAACACACACAAACCTCTTATTGTTTCTTCACCATGTACTCACTGCATGAGTGTGCCCTGCAAAAGCACAGCCCGATGTGACGCACACAGGCTGAGCACATGAATGAACTGACAAGGAGCTGTTATGCTTTTCCTCCTGAAGCACTAGCTACTAGTCACAGTGCAGAATCCATTATTACCCCGTCCATTCATTTCCATCACCAGCAAACATGATGCAGTGTCACACAGCTGTGCACGTGGGATGTCAGGTTTGTAAAATGTGATAGCTGTCCTAAAAATCTGCAGAGGTGGGAAGTAGTGGAGTACAAATACTTTGTTACTGTACTTAAGTACATTTGTCTGGTATCAGTACTTTACTCCACTATTTATTTTTTCTGACGACTTTTTACTTTATTTCTTACATTTTTAACTCAAATACCTGTACTTTCTACTTCTTACATTTGTACTTTCTACTTCTTACATTTTCAAAACAGGCTCGTTACTTTAGTTTTAATTTGGTGGCGCGATCATTATTATTTAGAATCATTGCGTGCCTCTTGATTTTAACACGATCCGTGTATCCTTCATTTCCTGGTCTTCTCTAAAGAAGAGGGACCAATGAAAACGTTGTCATGTTGCCGTTGTTCAGCATCGAAACATTCATTAGCTAACAATGAGATTATTGTTCTATTAATATAAAGGGAGGTCAGGTACTCTTTAAAACAGCTGCTAGTTATGGGTACTTTTTACTTAAGTAGATTTCTAAGCCCATACTTCTTTACTTTTACTTGAGTAAAGAAGTTTACTCAGTACTTTTAAACACCAGCATTTGTACTTATACTCGAGTAAAGGATGTGTGTACTTTTGCCATCTCTGGAAATCTGTTTATGGTCAGGTGCTGTGTTCCAATCGTTGTGTTTTTAAGGCTTTTCCAGACCTTGGCGCACCTCCACCCAACAATTCTGGTAATTGCTAGCCCAGAGGAAAGACTTGCAGCAATGTGTAGCAGCAAGATGCCCAAATTCACAAACTCATGGACCATAGACTGCACCATTTTGCCAGGATGGATTGAGAAACACCCACTGGATCAAATGCAGCCCATACTACTGATTGTTGCTTATCTGTGCACTGAAAACACTGTGTTTGACTCACTCTCATTCTTTTTTTCACTCAAGTTAAAGCAATGTGAACACAGTAGCAACAAATGTGCTTCATCACCTCTTCTACAAGAACAGTAACAATGCATATGGCAGTTCAAACTACATATTAACGGAAATTAGGGATTGATGGAGACAGGATACAATAAAACAGCTAAAAGCCATTAATGTCTGAGGTCAAGCAGTTCAGGAGTTTGAACAATGCTTGGGAGTTGTAGATATTTGAAAGAGGTTCAAGGCTCGCTGTTATCTGTCCCACAGACTCTGGGACAGCAGCCAAGCCGATGCCATCTCAAGCGGAGGAACGCAAGAAAATTGCAGGAAATTCCTACTTGGTTTTCTCCTATAAGCAGAAGAAATTCTTTCGATTCAGGCTGCTGAAATGTTTCACAACAATGTAAGTTGTTTTGACTGGTCATATGATCAGCTGTATGGGACAAAAACACTGTTAAAGTTCCCCAAAACAATTAAAAGGAACAAAGAAAATGAGGAATGGCATGTTTCCTGAGAATAAGTGAGACTTTTATATAAAAAGTTATCTAAACTAAGCACTTTGTCCAGTCTGTGATGCTATGTTTGTAATTGTAGACAAGCTTTATAGGATGATTGGTTTGTACCTGAGGATTTGTTGCCACCTAGTGAAAACTCATTCACATGATAATTCTTTTTAATCATAAAACCTGTGATCCAGTCACTGCTTAAAACTGGCATGATGGATTTATTCACTACCACATATAAAACCCTCCTAGTCCTCTGCTTTGGTTTGAATGTCTTTCTTTAATATTAAGGCTATTAGTTTCCTCTCAGTGCAACCTCTCTTTATTTGCAGATGTGCAATGCCTTAATCTTTGTGATCATAGATTTATAATGACTTATACAGATTGTATAGGACATCTCAAAGTATCTTTAGGTTTTTTGAAAGGCTTATATATTGAAGCGTCATTTTCAAATATCACTAAATAAGGTTCTTCTTAATTCAGTTAAACAAATATAATGGCAAAACATAAGAAGATAAAAAAAAACATAAAGAAAAACAAGGGACCATATATATATAAAGAATACATTAAAAAAGGGAAATAAATATAACATTTTATAAAATACATAACATTGATAATAAATTGATGCAAACTGTAATACTTTAGATAATAAAAGTGTTAATGTTGATAACAACCATGTTAGTTAGGCACCTGGATCAGCTGAAACCACTAACCTGGAAGACTGTATTTTATCGCAATTTAATAAAATGTTGAGAATTAAAGTTTATACAGTACTTCATCTCTAGATGTTGTAAAGCTCAGAAATATGTCAAGGATATTATTCAAATCAGCAAATGATAACTCTCAGTGAGGCATTCCTGAAATAACAATTCATCTTCAACACAAGTCTGGGGAAAGGATGCAGGGTCTCCAAAATCAGAGACCTTTTGAGCGATTTCCTTCTTCTTCAATCCCTTGAACTCACCCATTGTGCTCTGACTATTCTCAGCATCACTGTTAGTGTTGTCATTCTGACTGATATCATGATGCTTTGCTGCCACCTGGTGCTTACATTTGTGGTACATTTTTACATTCTCACCAATGATCAGTTATGTTACTGCGGGTTTGAACAACCCCCCATCCGTTATGTGTTTCTCAACAGAAAGAAAATCACCAACTATAATCAAAACAATTATACTAACAAGGGCATGAGAAAAGAGGACAGACTCCAGGTGGCCGATAAGATGTTTAAGTTGAACTGGCCTTGAGATAGCCAAATATGTGAAAACACAAGAGTTTTTCCCTCGCATCCTCTTTGCTTCTCTCTGTTGAAGCAGATCAGAGCAGTTAGAGATCCTGGCTCGATGGAGAAGAAGGTGGTTCTGATCACAGGCTGCTCCTCGGGAATCGGCCTCAGCCTGGCTGTCCGGCTGGCCTCCGACCCCGACAAAACATTCAAAGGTAACCACAGTTGACATGGACTTTTGAAGTATTCCTTTTGTGTCTTTTTAGGAAACCTTACTGTCAGGAAGTGTTTAGGTAATGACCTTCTGATCACACCGTTTGTAATGTGATACTAGACTGGATGCTGGATGAGATTGTGAGATGAGAAAATCATTTTGAAATCTGTATCAAGGCATGCCAGTACAAGCTGCTTTCTGTTTAAGTGTATGCCACAATGAGAAACCTGGCCAAGAAGGAGCGTCTCATAGAGTGTGTGAAAAGCCTGCACAAAGATACCTTGGACATCCTGCAAATGGACGTGACCGGCTGGCAGTCCATCCTGGATGCGAGGGACAGGGTTGTGGAGAAACGAGTGGACATTCTGGGTATGCTCTAATGTCAGTGTGTTCTTATTAAGGGGACACAATACAGGGGAATGGGGAACATGTTGACTAACATATATCACAGTGAAACTCCCTGCAGTGTAGATATCTGGTAAATAAAACCTTTTTTTGAAATACAAGTTTTCTGTTAAGTGTAAATATGCAAATTACAGGTAATCTCATTACATATGCCACTTTGCATGAACATCTGAAAAAAAAGCCCAGTTCTTCATTTTTGTTAGATTTGGTTTATCATATTCAAACGTTTTATATGGGTAATTTTTTATATCTGTTTGGATCCCTCCCTTTATCAGAAAATACTGTCAAACGTTTCCATCATGTTGTAGGCAAAACATAATCAGGCTTTGAATTATATATAAACAAACACCTCAGTTAAGGCCTTGATATCAATACCGACAAATAGACAGGAATAAAACGGTATCCTTTGGTGTATTTGAGTGGTACTCTAGTGGAGACAGTATGACAAATTGTAAAGTGTGTTAATGGGCATCTCCTCGCCGCTCACAGTGTGTAATGCGGGTGTGGGTCTGATGGGGCCGCTGGAGGTGCAGTCCTTGGACTCGATGAGGCAGATTCTGGAGGTCAACCTTTTCGGTACCATCCAGACCATCCAGGCGTTCCTGCCAGGGATGAAGGCTCGGGGTCAGGGCCACATCCTGGTCACGGGGAGCACAGGAGGGCTTCAAGGTGAGACGGGAACATCGTTGAGAAATCACTGATCGTCCTCAGTGTTCCACATGTGCAGATTTAAGAATAATTTATTGGGAATGTCGAAAAACATGTTGTGTTGATGCTTGCTGCCATGCATGAAATTGCCGAAATAACCCATCTTCATGCTTCATGCTCTCTCACAGGTCTCCCCTTTAATGAGGTGTACTGTGCCAGTAAGTTTGCAATAGAGGGAGCATGTGAGAGTTTGGCAATCCTCCTGCAACACTTCAATATCCAGTGAGTCTCTGCACTTTGTTTCCTGAGTTCAGAGGCAGTTAACAGTCTTAACTTATCTTAACTTAAAGTGTTAACTATGCTTCATCCTGCAGTGTGAGTCTTGTTGAGTGTGGTCCAGTGAACACTGACTTCCTGGTGAACCTGCAGAAGGCAGAGCTCGGGGACACATCTCTGCAACAGGTCGATGACCTCACGCTCAACCTCTATGAAAAATACCTGCAGCACTGTGGCTCTGTTTTCCAAAACGCAGCCCAGGACACTGAGGACATTGTGAAGGTATGCTGTGTCATACAGTAGAGTGTATTAATTTCTCTTGTGTACATTGCCTTGTGTTTTTTATGCTGCTGCAACGCAAACATTTCCAAATTGGGATCAATAAAGTACCTATCTTAATCTCTTAATCTTAGAGCGTAAAATCATAAATTATAAAGATAGATTTTTGAAATGTGGGTTTACTATTTTGGCTGTTATGCTGATTAAATAGCATTATAATGATTGAAGATTTCATTATTTTAGGTTTTTATTCAGAGAAATAAACTAGAGATCTAGACAACACTTCCCATAAAACCCAGGACACATTAAACATTTCAGATTTACAGACTCCAATCTAAAACATATACTCTAATCTGCTATCTGAATGTAACATATGTATGCCTGCTCTGGCAGGGAAACTATCACGCTGGAGCTGGGTCACACTTTGTGCCTGGCTTTGAATTCCTTCAAAATGAAAGCATGATTTACACATTTTCATTTGCATGATCTTGCTTTGTAGTGTGACCCGCTGTATCTCACTGGTGCTGTTTGTTTTTGTCTCTAAGGTATTTCTGGAAGCCATCCAGTCACCCAGCCCTGCCTTCAGATACTTCACCAGCGGGGACGTGCCACCTCTCACCAAACTGAAGGCCACAGAGCCAGGTGGCTCGCGGTACATCAGTGCTTTGAGCAAAACCATGTTCTCATCTGAGGAACAATAATTGTGCCTCGTTTTCAACCAAGCCACTAGTTGCTCTTCTTTTTTCTTCGTGTACAGAGTTTTATGTTGTTGTTCTCTCAGTTTTGTGTTTTGGAGTTAAAGTTGGGGCACTGTGACTCACCGTGGTGACTCAAAGTTCAGTTTTATATTTTAACATGGAGGGACTGCATGCTTCTATTTTTGTGAATCACGTTTAAAAATGTATATTCCTTTTCGACAATTTTAAGATTTGAAAAATAAACAAAGTTTTGGTTGTTGGAGACATTTTAAGTAAGTATTATGTTGAGTGATACAGCAGCTTCTTAATTTTTACCATGTGATAGTGTTGTTACCACACTGGTTGGCATATTTTCACAAGGCGTGCTTCTGGAGAACCACAACCAGAAACCATTGTGTTACTCCAAAGCATGAAACAAAACAAGATGCAGGATTGTTCTCCATAAAATAAATACATTGTATGTTGTTTTCTTTTTGTGTGTTTTCTGAATGACTTGCATTAAAATTCCCCTTGATGGTTAAATGAACCATGAACTGAAACCAGTTTGGATGATATCTGTTAAACACTCACTGTAGATTGTATGCAAAGTTGGATTTCACTAAGTCTTTGCTCCATATATTATTTATCATAACAGATGTTGTGTGTCACAAGAAGTATGAACACTTTAACTAATAATTAGGAGCAGCACATCAAGCCCATTGACCAAAGAAAAGAAAGGAAATATACAGCTTGTAAATGCTTTGGTCTATTGGTGCTGAAATTTTATTTCACTTTGAGGTGGATTCTCTCTCATTGATCTATACATAAAGCAAACAGACAATGTCATGTATTATGCAGTTTTAAAAATCAGTACAAATCTTCTCAAAATGACTTCATAATTGGACAGAATTATCTAATTCGTATTACCATTATACAGTACCTCTATACCTTTCTATTTAAATAGGAGTTTGAAAGAGTTCATTTCAATTATGAAAAGTTAAGAAATGTCTTTATGACCAGTAAATTGTGAGGAGGAGGTTGAATTGCTTGAATCACTGAACAGATTAAAGACTGTACTATTTGGATCAGTCTTAGGCTGTTTAGCCCATGAGTATTTCTATTACAACCTGAGACAGGTTGCCTGCATAAAAACATTCCGTTTCCAAAATGTCTTTGATAGGACTGACTGAGGATCTTATGTCCCTTTCTGATTACATTCTGTCATTCCAGATTAAAGATCCTGAAATGGAATCCTGCAATACCAGTTCCTACTGTGTGGTACGTCTAAATATAGATGACAACCTTTATTTGTCTGAAGAACCAAAGTCCAGGTGAATCATGCAAGCTCTAGCCTACCATACAGTATCATTTTAGACTTTGGATTTCTCGTGGAAACCCTTTTGAAGCCCAGTGTTCTCAATCAAATAATACATATGATTTTATTCCTTATCATGTCTCCTTATCATGATGAGAGTAAAACTGTGTAATTTCTGAACTCCAAGTCTGAGGAGATCAGCTTGTAGTCTAATTCATCCCATAATAACAATACTAACTAGGTTTAAATAATATTTAAAATAACATGACATAAAACGTTTCATATGAAAGCTGTTGGATTTTATTCTTTTAACACGTCTTCTGAACTTCTTCAATTTCTTATTTTTTAAGTCTGGATTCATCTTGGCTTTAAATTCAAAGATCAAGATTTCACTCTGATTGGCTAGAGCATCTCGTTACGTCATTGCTGTCCTTAACTGGGCTCTGTGGGCAGTGGCGCGGCTCAGTCAAAACAGCCGGGTAGTTGCTGCTGTTGCTGCTGGGGTGGAAATACCGACTTTTCTCCTGAGAACCTATATTAGTCTTTAAAACGTAAACTTCACCATGACCAACAAAGTGACCCCTCTCCTTTTCAAGGCGCTGCTGCAGATGTCTGAAGCACATTACTCAAAAGGTGTACGAGGGACCGGTAAAAGAACAAACATCAGGTGAGTGAACACGGGGATTTTTCAGAAGTGATGCGTTCAGGTAGCCGAGGTAGAAGAAATACTAAGGAGCATTTATATTGAATTATACTTGTCACAATATGGGTCGAGCTGTACATTATATGTTAAAATGTATGTTCTTCCCATATCCGGCTATTTTTTGTTATTTTTGAATTAATTGTAGACTTAGTGGCATGAGTGGCAAGTTAGCCTGTGTGCGTGTGAAGAAATAATTGGCAAAGAGAAACAGTCATGAGACTCGCAGTGAGTCACAATTATAATGCGTCAACTTTACTATCGATATCAAAACTGAAAGTGCAAAAACATAAACATTCGTAAATGGAGAGCAAGTTGTGGCTTGGTTGAAAACAAAGCAGACATACAGTATTGGTCTTTGTCTTGTCTCCTCTTGTGGATGGTTACCAGTTGCATTCAGTAAGCTGCCAGCAGTTTTTCTCAGTGAGAAATAATTACTATAAATAACTACATACTTAAATATTGGGGACAAATGAATTCAGTTTATCCACAGAACAAACAACTTCACAACATAAATTCTATGGTAACATGTGCTATTATTAACCCAAACTCTAATTTGGGTCAGTCACATGTCAGATCCCCTCACTGATTCATATGTAACCATATATGTTTTTAATTTCTTCCTGTCAGACACTTGTGGGGCTCCTGTGGGGCCTTGGCAGCGAGAAGGACCAGCATGCCTCTCTGCCCCGCCACCCCCCTCAGCACAGACAGCCGCAGCTTCATCAACCTGGCTGCTCCCATCAGCGCTCGCAGGATGGAGTATACCGAGTGCCGGACATTAGGGTGAGCCATCTGACATCCAACATGTTGAAAACCAGTGAAATAAGAAGACAGCTTTCCTTCCAAACCATACAGAATGTAATTAAAAGTGGTGTAATTTCAAACAAAAGGATAGCATATGCAAACATATACAGGTTTTCTTCAAGTGCATGGTAAAGCAACACCTGATCGTAACTTACAATAAGTCAACAGTGATCAAATTAATAATTATTTTGGTGATGTAAAAAATGGCAGATTAATTGAAGCACAAGATGGAATCGTATATATTTTTTAAAATAAGAAAATGTATTTAAAATATAACCTAAATACATTTAAAACGTATTAAATAGAAAATTGGAACTCCCAAGTGTTGAATACACACATTTATGAAGAAATAAACTCATTGGATGTGCCTCTGTCTTCATGTAATGTGTGCTCAGGTTTACCCCAGAGCAGATGTATGATGTGGTGGCCAGTGTGGACCAGTACCAGCACTTTGTTCCCTGGTGCAAGAAGTCTCGTGTCACAAGGAGACAAAATGGTGACGTCCAGGCGAATCTCGAAATAGGTTTCCCCCCCATCGTGGAGCGCTACACCTCTGAAGTCACTGTCATCCCAAATCACCAAGTCAGGGTAAGGAAGTCTTGGTAGCTCCAGGAATGCAACATTACAAACCCCTTTGCCCAAATAATACACTTTGAACTTCAGCGTATGCTCTTTGACATTTTGAAATAAAGATGACTAAAGGTTAATTTATTTTAAAACAGGCCGTGTGTACTAATGGATCCCTCTTCAGCCATCTGGAAACAATATGGAGGTTTGCCCCTGGAGCCAAAGACCTACCAGCCTCCTGCAAAATCTATTTCTATGTAAGTAATATCTTGACCTCAGAGACATGAGAAAATACATTGAATGTATGAGGAAATGGGAAGGGAACTTATTCTGGATTGAAATTGAATAAAGTAAACCTCAGGGTCAGCCAGGAAGTAGTTAGATTTTTGTTGTTGAAAAAGATGACCAATGAACATGTAAAGATAGCACAAGTCTGAATGTCAAATACTCTGCCACAGACGTCTTAGGTTTTGATTTGTTTGTGATCTGATTTTCACCTCTATACAAATCCTACTGTGACTGTAGTCAGCATGACGTCACCCATTTGTTTGTGTATTATTGTTTGGAAGCCTTGAATTTCTCATCATTGTTAAATATTTTTTGAAAAAGATTAACTTTAATGACCTCTATTACAAAGAGTTGAAGATGAAAGAAAAACACTAACAACACCCAAACCATAAAACACTTCGCTAGCAGTCCTTTCATTGGAGGCCCGCCCTAAAGCATACCATGATTTATTTTCTGTTTGTCTTTTAAAGTGGAGCATAATTTACGAAATCAACAGCAAGTTGCATTCAAGAGAGTTTAAAACTAGCGATTAAGACCATACAATTGCTAGGAAAATGTTAACTGAGGTGAATAAATTACCTCATAGACTTCTATACAATCTGATGTGGTCTCTGCCTCTTGCTGTTCCTGTTTAGAAGGGTTTGAGAAGAAATCAATTTCATTTACAATTGAAGATTCTCCCAAACATTTAACTGACGTGTTTGCCCCACTCTCGTTTCCTCTAGGTGTCATTTGAGTTCAAGTCTCTCCTGCACTCTCAGCTGGCCGGCGTGTTCTTTGACGAAGTGGTTAAACAGATGGTCAAGGCCTTTGAGTCACGAGCATCAACTCTTTACAGGAGCCAGCAGGGGGCGCCATTGAGGAGCCGGTCAACATGAGGCGTTTGTCCTCCCATATCATCCACATCCCCTTCAAAGCCTGCTCTTACTGTTAAAACATGTCCTACAAAGAAGTCACAGAAGGCTGGATCTTCTTCTTTTTTGGACACAGTCTTATACTTACATTTACATGCACATTGAACATACTTAAAAACATTATTTATAATTATAAGCCAGTCACAAGCTAATTTATTTATTTTTTCTTGTTAAATTGTGGATTTACAAACAAGTGACAACTGATCAGTGCAGAAACAACAAGTGTTGAGCTATTATTTGTTTGTGGAAATAAAAAGCTCTTATATTAGTTATACTATGTCCATGTTTTATTAATTGCGTGTATTATTTTAATGTGCTGTTTTTAATTTCCTTTTTTTATAATTGTATCATGGGCCCCAGTGTCTTGGCCTGTCCCACAAAGGATTTCAAGGCCTTTGTCGGATTGGCCAAAGGTTTGACAAAAGATAGTGTGCCAACAGGAACAGTTGCATAAGAATAATACGAGTGACCTTAGGCTACAGTCAACACTTCGCTCCTGGCTTTACTCTCATAGGTGATGATCTGTTTTCATGAGAAGAAACATGTTAAAGGTCACCTATTATGCAAAATCCACTTGTTCATGTCTTTTATACATAAACATGTGTCCCCTCTGTGTAAAGAGATTCTGAAAGTTTCAGGAAAAAAGATTCGCCCACTTTTTCTCCTGATCCATTTCTATAAACACCTGTCTGAAAATGAGCTGATCAGATTTTGGCCACTTTATGTCATAACGATTTTTTGGCTTGTGTAACCATTAGCCATTAACCAACCAAGGTAACCCCCCCCCCCACCGTATCACCTGAATCTGTACAAAAATATATAAGATCAAAGGACCCATGAGGAATCCTGTTGAGATTTCAAGGATTCACACTTAACTACCACATAATATAGACAACATCTGTTTGTGTTTCTCTTGTGGCAATAATGCACAGAGGACAGAGAGTTTGCCTCTAAGTGAAAGAATATTTCCAGACTAGTTGTTACAAACGTATTCTTCACATGGGTTCCACTTAAACAAAAGGCCATAATTTCTCATTGATTTGACAATGCCATACATATGTATTTATAGCAAAGAAATATTGGATTTGGTGTTTTACAGATATCTGAACTGATATTAGTTACGGTCCAATGCTTTAATTTATCCCTCAAGTGGAATTGTATGGCAAGCCAGTCAGTCCTCTCTGACTTATGGGTGCAGGGCTAACAAACTCCACAATGCCTTGTTTGAACAGGTTCACTAAATCAATATCTTCAAATCATTTGACACCTGTCAAATCTGTATTTATGTAGTGATATCACACCAATTGCTTTGTAAATGTTGCCTAAATGTAACTGTATATTCACAAAATGTATTATCTTAAATCACTTGACTGAGTTCTGTGTGTTTTCCCATCACTCTCAAGAAAAGATGATTTGTTGTTTTATCGATGGGTGTTTCCTAAAACGTTCATGTTTTTGCACAATGCAGGCTGAAGTATAGAAGGGGGAGGTTGGCATAGAGGCAGAGATTGTTTTTTAAAACCACGAAGATGAAGCAAATTGCAGTCCTGATTTTAGCATTAAGCTGCTGCGTATGTGAAGGGCAAGTTCCTGAGACCGATGACAAAGTCTGTCTGTGCTCAGGATCATCCTGCTGCTTTGAAATCAGTCAAAACTTGGGAGCAGTGGGAGAGAAGGTCGCAAACATGGCGGAGAAAATAACTGTCCTGGAGGCGAAGTTGCAGAACACTAAAAAGAAGTATTGGAGCTGTGTAGCCTGACTGGAGGATTGATATACTCAAACCTAGGGTATTTAGTAATCAGAGTTGATTTTTTATATGAAAAACCTTAATGTAACTTAAAAGAAAAAAATACATTAGAACTTTGTAGCATAGAAGTATATGATTTACTGTAAAAGTATTCTATTTTTATATCCCTTGCACTTGATTCCATTGGTATGATGCATTGATCTTTAGTCCATGTTTGTAGGTTAAATAAAAAAATTGTTTAAAAAGCTAAACTAAAACCAGCACCAACTTCGGTCTTGGCTCATTTTGCATTGTAAGTATTCAAATCGTGGAAATCTATCGACTCTTGTATGATATTATTTCCATGACAGGCACATTTCATCCAAGCTGCCCAGTGGAAAAACTGACAAAAGTCAATAAGTGCTTTGCTTGTAATGACTTTTAAAATGTAGTTTTTAATATAAGTTGGACTGACTTAAACACTCTGATCAAAATAAGTAAACGGAACAAGTGTCTCCTTTTTAGCTGTTAGCTGGCACAAAGGTTGTCTGATCCTTAACGACACTGTTCTGCTAAGTTTAACAAAAATTCTCCGTTCCATTTTAATGCAGTGGTTTAATTTTGATATTCCACTAAAAGTTTGCGTTAGTGCTCTGGAAAAATTATAACAAAGCATTTATAAAGTACAATTGCTCAAGTGTTTCTTTTCATAGCATGTAGCACATGCTAACAGTTAGCCCCTACACAGTCTATTGTGGTCAACATTTTACCTTAAAGTAGATCAGAAGTCAGATTTTACTGCGATTTCAGACCCGTTTGCTTTTGACAAAGGATATTTATTTGTATTCATACCGCCAGTTGAAATAAAATCTTACAAATATTTACCCATGAGGCAAAGTAAGCTATAAGACAGTCCTCACCCAAGTCTAATTAAGAAATACCAACTTTCATATATGCCTGTAGCTCTGTAACAATATTCATACATTTTGTACAATAATACAAATATCATATATTTCCAGCCATAGTACAGGATGTACAGTTTGGTCCTGACTTTTTATACAATATTCTACAACAAAACAGTTGAAGGCACTCTTGAAAATGTTGTGTTTATACATTTTGTCTCTCCTTCTTTACAATAAGTTTGGCTGAGCAGAACGCCTCCCCTTGGTCATTGGTGGCTTTGCAGGTGTACACACCGCTCTCCTCTGGGCCCACTTTGTCTAAGACCAATGTGCAGCGGCCATCTTCATCATACTCGATCTGCTTCGAGGGTGACTCCTCCACATGCTCTTTACCACACAGCCACACCACCTCTGGGTCTGGGTACCCTGTCAAGATAGATGGGGGTGAGGACAGTATTAAAGAGCAGAAAAATGACAAGTACTTCTGTTTTCTTTTAGGGGAAATTTCAGTTGCGAGTTGATAGCAAGTCTTTCAGGCCTGAAAACTGCCCATTAAAGGTGGGGTAGGTAATTAATTCCAGAAACACTTTTTGGACATATGTTGTGTATAGCAGGGTCTAATATGGGTTATGCAAGGCCAATTTATTAGATATTGTCCAACATTTGTGATAAATCTTTTTGCTTTTGCTCTTTTTAGTAACGGCTGTGAACAATACATGTGCAATAATAAGTCACAAAGATGAAAACATTGCTTAAAGGTCACCTATTATACAAAATGCACTTTTTTTACATACATGTGTCCCCCGTTTCTAAGGAGACTCACAAAGTGTCAGAAAATAAAACCCTCTCTCGTTTCCTCCTTACCCACATCTCTAAAAACGGGACTTGCTGCGGACTTGACGTCATTACTGAAATGTGGGCTGGCTATACATTGAGCTCCTGGCAACGTAACGCCCCTCATATACAGTCGGCTAGCTGAATCCCCTCCCACAGCTGTGTGTCTGTGTATTCAGCAGGATGTCTACGGGAGGGACTTAGAGTAAAGTTGTTATATATATCATTCATATAATGCCACTGTGCTAGCGGTAAACCCTGAATTAAGAACATGTCAAGCTTTGTGCTATATCAGAAACAATCCGCAACATGTTTTGGAAGTAATATGGTCTGTTTTTATATTAGCAAGCATCGCTAACACTCAGAGCTAACACTGTACTGGAGAGAATATGTGTAAAGAAGCCGGATGTAAAAAAGGTACTATCCTTGTGGCAAACCCTTTAGAGAGAAAGCGTTTGAGCTCCACACTGTTTCAGAAATAATCCTTCATGTGGTTTGGAACATAATGTGGAGTTTAATGATGGCAGCATTTAGCTGAGTTACTGCCGGTAATCAGCCTTTTATCTCACCGCTTGCATGCGGCAGCTCGGTTATATTTAAAGGGCCAGATTCAGTGCTTTTGTAACAGGGCTGAAATAGAGGGGTATAAAGCATGGCTACAATGGGTAATCTGTTTGGTATTTTGAGCAAAACACTTCAGAGACATGTTTTGTATAGATTTGGACCTATATTATATTGTTCAAATATAGCATAAAAGGTGAGCTTTAAGCTCTTGACTGAAGTTGTGTGTACCTGTGAGGTGACAGGAGAGACGGGCACATGATCCCTGAACTACTGTAAGGTCCTCCAGGCTCTGGGTGAACTGGGGTGGCACCTGCATCTTGCGCTCCAGAGACTGCAGGGCGTGCTCCGCCTCTGGGCTCAGGGGTGAATCTGGGACAGAGAGGGGGAGGAAGAAGGAAGTAGATGAGTGGTGGAAAACCCCAGGATTTTTATCCTTCAACTTTAAACCAGGAAAATAAAACGATCCTGATAAGATAAAATCAGAATGTGATTTGTCCTACCTTCTCCAGGGCTGGTAGGCGAGACAGAGCTGTCACCTTTAGACAGCAGAGCCATTCTCTTCAGGGCTAACAAGGCCTTCCCTGCTTTCTATGTAACAAAAAAAGTCCGGGATCAGAAAACAAAAATACCTCAAACTCAAAGATAAGCATAAAAGGACTTAAAGACCTTCCACTTCTGCCTGGCTAGAAACCTCTTCATCTTCTCCTTGGACAGGCTCTTGTTGGTGGCAACAGCTCCAGAGTCAAATGCCATCCAGGGGTGTGCGAGTGCTTCCTCACATGTCATCCTCCGCCTGGGAAAACAGTGTTACAGATGGTTAAGGGAAGACACTATAGGTTTATAAATCCTCAAAAGGTCAAACGTTTTTACAGAGGGAATTTTGAATAGGTCCTTGCACCACCAAAAATCAGAAAAAACTGTAATCTGCACGTTTAAAAATACGAACGAGGAACAAGTGTTACATAAATCAAGCTGAGTGTTCATCTAGGTGTTCTTCAAAAACCTTTATATAAATATACCTTTGTAAAGTTTGACGTCTGTATCTAGAGAGATTTCTGGCTCATGGGAAAAAGTAATTTAAGAAAGAAAGCCTTACAAATATTACTATTGTAGAATTAAATACATTTTATTATTAAAGAAATTATAGAGTGTGTGTGTGTGTGTGTGTGTGTGTGTGTGTGTGTGTGTTTCCTGTGACGCGTTTTCCTCCAACATCATCAGCTCCAGGCTGCTGCAAGGCATTCTGGGAAACGGTTGGGGTTGGGGTTTGGGGGGGAGGGAGAGTCCAACGAGACACATCTGAGGAGGGGGATTCGATAAATGTAATCCCGTTATAAAGCCTTGAAGGGAACAGGAAAATAATAATATATAAATATACACAAAACTATATATGAATAATTCCTTCTCACGTTTGGAATATTAAGTTCATTTGTGATTTTAAAATCTATAAAAATAAATTAAATGACCCTCACTAAATGGAAATTTTTTCCCACTTTTTATAATAATAATCTTGATTTTGTTTCATTTCATTTAATAGTTTTTTTTGGCAGGGACATTAATGAACACTTAAAACTAAAAAATGCGTCAAGCGTAAATATGCCGGATTTTAGCTTTGAGCTAATTTCCATCCGCAGTCCCTCACATAAAACATTTAAGAAGTTTACATTTATAAACATAGCAAAAACAAATACATGATATGCAGAAAGAGCAAGAGCAGTATACACAAGTATTTACCACATGGCAGTACAATGTAGCAGCTACCACATATAAAGGGCAAGAGGGGATACCCCTGAGTTAAAGGGCAAGAGGAGATATTAAAATGCATTTAGCGGTGATTGCACGTCTGCTTGTTTCTCAACCATTCTTTGAGTTGGCCTTTAAAACTATTGAGAGTGGGACAATCCCGTATCTCAGCTGGGAGGCTGTTCCACAAAGAGCTGCCTTTAATGGAGAGGACATTTTGTCCAAAAGTGGTCCGTCTACGGTGGACAGTCATGTCTCTGNCCGTCCCTGGTGCTGCGCCATTTATGAAGTGAAGGTGGTTTTTTCGCTTCTAATAAACAGCTGGTGGGCAGAAGATACTGTGAGAGTCCCAAGATCGGAATTCTAGATCAAGGCCAGACTGGTTTTTACAGACGTTCCTGTTTTTTTTACCAAATCTGGTGCTTAAACAATAGCTCTACAGCCCTGGGCGAAATGTCCTTAAAATTAGATCGAGTTCGAATATATCTCTAATGTATGCACTGTATTCGCACAAGATAACTAACAGTTATCACTGGATTTTTCATGTTTTCTGTTTTTTTTATTTTTTTCCTCCTTTAGTTTAAGGGGGCTCCGTAGGAATAATAGGTTTATTTCTTAGAGATAGCAGTTAGATATAAAAATAAGTAATAATGGTTGTTTCAATGTTTGATAATGGTGTGGGATTTGAAGCAACCCATTCTTATGTATCACCGATGGTTGTGAGGACCCCCAGGTACAGCAAAAATCAGGGAATGCAGGTTGGGTGCCAAAATAAGGTCATTATTTACCCAATAATGTTCAGTTTTTAAGATGGGTAACAATCACCTTAGTTTAAACAAAAAGGTTGTAGATATAACAGACCCATCTAGCATTACACAACTAAACGAAAACATCCAAAAATGGGGTGAACATCCTGTGTGCTCTTCTGCCCAAGAGCCAACTCATACCCCCCATACATCTCCAATGCAGGAAATTTATAGCACTACTGCAGGCCAAGATCACCTTGTTGCGTGCAGGGTGGAAGCAGGCGTCTAAAAAGGGGTGGCTTAAATGGAGTGGCCTCTTTAAACACCCCTCAGGGTTTGAGAGGAATGGCGTAGTCCAATTAGCTGACACATCTATAAAGGCAGGTGTTTTCCATCAGTGCAGTCTTTTGCAAGGAGCAAGGTGAGCTGTAAGACACTGACAATAGGATTACACACAACACAATTAACAATAGATATTTTAAACAAGATTGTGTGCACTCAATCTAGCAAAAATAAAGCTGTTTCAAATCAATGTGTATGTCTGATGTAAACAAAAGCATAACCTTTAGGATGTGTGTTCGTTTGTGAGGCTTGTAGCCCTCACATGTATTGTGACTGTTTTATTCTGCAAACTATTGGATATTTTCAAAAGAATCATTTTTATTGTCTTGAATAATAATTATAATAATAATAAAAAAACTCTGCAGATAGTGGATGGTCCAGAGCTGTGGTCAGAAAACACAGATCAGAGCAGCACACTGGTCATAGCAGAGGCTAACCCGCAGCACACAGGCCGCTACACTGTTGTAGTGAAGGACCGCAAGAGCTCTGCACAACACACGTTTGCTCTTTCTGTCATAGGTAAGGCAACACACACTCTGCAATGTCAGTACAAAGTGATATAAGTTTGCAGTTACCTGACCCTTCATCTTACCGTCATCCAACCAGAGCCCCCCCAGCCTCCGGCCTCCTGTCCCGTGATCTCCCTCGTCTCTCCCAGCAGCCTCGTGCTCTCCTGGTCTGGCCCCTGCTACGACGGAGGCAGTGCTATCCTAGGTTATGTGGTTGAAGTGAAGAACCAGGGACGTGTTGATCCTGGGGATTGGGCCGAGCTCACAGCCCAGTGTAAGAGTACCTCATACAAAGTGTGCTCAGGTCTGCTGCCTCAACAAGAGTACTGCTTCAGAGTGAGGGCCTACAACGCAGTGGGAGTCAGTGAGCCAGGACCAGTGTCACCAGTAGTTAGGATGGAGCAGAATGGTGAGGCAACATGTGTTACTCATACCACAAAATCTAGAGATGAGGCTTTTATTAAAGCCGTTGTGCCTTTGTCTGTGTATTTAGATAAACCACAAGAAGAAGAAACCCCTCAAGCGTTCTTCTGTGTCACTGTTGACTCTTCACACAAAGTCACAGATCACTACAGTTTGCAGGAGAAACTGGGAATGTGAGTATCTGTCAGGCTCAAACATGTTTTATCCGATTAGCTTGAACACAAACATTTCTTTGGAAGCTGGTGACCTCTGTGGATTTGGGGAAATCAGCCAAGTACAACAGAGCGATGATTAAAATGCATGCAGAGACATGACTCTATCTATAAACAACGACATTGATTTCAATGGTGAGAAATGTTGGGTGTTTTTTCCCCTTTGACAGATAAAGGAATACAACAATAACAGATCTCAAATGAAGTATTGTTTAACATTCACAATTTGATTTATGGTCTCAGAGATAACAAAATAAACGTGTTTCTTCATTAGGGGAAAGTTCGGCCTGGTGTTCAAGTTAACCCACAAGGAAACAGGACGTGTGTGTGCAGGGAAGTTCTACAAAGGTCGACGTGCCAAGGAGAGGGAGGCTGCTCGTAAGGAGATAGAGCTGATGAACTTCCTCCACCACCCCCAACTGGTGCAGTGTCTCGCAGCATACGACCACAAGCCTGAGATGGTCATGGTCATGGAGTTGTGAGTACCATCGTGAAAGTCGATCATTGTTGGAAACCTGCAAATTCTGGTTGCATACAAAGAAAATGAAGTATATCAATGCTGTGGTTTGTGCCTGCAGTATCGCAGGCGGGGAACTGTTTGAACGCATTGTGGATGACAGTTTTGTGCACACTGAGCTTGCTAGTGTGCGCTACATGCAGCAGATCCTGGAGGGGATTGCCTTCATGCATCAGCAGAACATTGTCCATCTGGACATGAAACCTGAAAACATTGTGTGTGTTGACACCACTGGCACCTCCGTGAAGATCATTGACTTCGGATTAGCCTGCAAGATTGGTATGTGAATGTCTGTCCAAAATGTCATCACTTTTTTGTCCATCGTCAAATTGTCATATGCACGTTGGTTCTTTGAACACTAAATTATAATCCTTGAATCCAAGTGGACATATCATTTGAAGAAATTCCTTCCAAGCATTCCTGAGTTATCGTGTTTACGAGAAGGGATGGAATGAGGTCAAAGTGACCTTTGACCACCAAAATGTAATCTACATCCCTAAATGTTTAAAATGTAAAAAAATTCCCTGAAGGCATTTCAGAGGTATTGCATTCACAAGAATGGTACGGACACTCAGGATAGTTGTCAAACATAATGCCGCCAGTGTGGAGGCATAATTATGTGATTTATGTTCAACAGAAGGGGACACACCACTGAAGGTGATGCATGGGACTCCAGAGTTTGTGGCACCTGAAGTGATCAACTATGAGCCTGTGTGTTTGTTCACTGACATGTGGAGCATAGGAGTCATCTGCTACATATTGTGAGTCCCACTGCCCCTCCCATGGCTCTTTCTACATTTAGTTTGACATTCGGAAAACTCACCTAAGGTGCAGAGTTGGATTTTGTTACTTTTGCACAGGGAAAAGCTAGCTCTTTCAAGTCTTTGCGCTAAGCTAAGCTAACCTGTTGCTGAGAGTGGCTTCATTTGGTATAGACACAAGACTGGTCATAAGAACCCGGACCCTTCTACTTTTGGGAAAAATTAAGGGGAACATAATTTAGACTAAATAGACCACATATAACACATTTCTGACAAGTAACCCCCCCTAGTATCAAATATCTGAAATGATATATACTGTATGTCAAATTGGGCTTTAATGGTAAAGTAACTGTTATTTATAACTTAATTAATGAGGAAGATTTTTTGGTTTAAATTAGTTTGAACATTCTTTGAATTGAAGAATATATTAACTAAATATAATTGAATCAGCTAAATTAACTGAGCAGATCATAATAATATTTCTAATTGTGCATAATGTGTCACTCCGGGTTTACTGTGAATGTTTGGGGTTAATGTCCCGATGTGACATCAGTGTCACAGCGATGTTTGTTTCATATCGATTTGATGAAGAAATGTTTCCAAAACAGGTTAAATGTAATAAAGGACATTTTAAGGAGTTTTAATTCTTAAATGGCTTGAATTTTACCTTTTAGATACAAAAAACAAGCTTCTGAAATGTAGCTAGCTCTGTCACATGTGTTAGCCTGGCACATGGACATCTTGGACATGTTGTTATTAACACAAAATCACATGACCTGGACCATGACCCGCCAAACTGTTCAGTGTGTGTCACTTAGGGACTTCATGAGATAAAATAAAGGCTAAAGCTGTATAAGGAACTTTCCATAACATTTAAAGGTCATGTGACACCTGTGTAAAGGTGGGTCCTTATGGGTTAAGGGCATCCGACATAAACGAATGCCGTGCTTCCATGAGCGTCAAATCCCGCCGCAGATGGGAATACATTGCAATCAGTTGAANTACAGCATTACTACATCTAAAACTGTTCCAATACAAATATTTCGTATATCAATATTTTAATAGATGTAATACAATGATTGTTACAATACAAATCTGAATAATATTATTCAGATTTGTATTGTAACAATCATTGTATTACATCTATTAAAATATTGATATACGAAATATTTGTATTGGAACAGTTTTAGATGTAGTAATGCTGTAACATATTTCAGCCACTAGGGGGGGCAATGCCCCCCCTCAAAATACGCCAATGCTTACACTGGCTCCCTATAGAACACAGGATAGAATTTTAAATTCTTCTTCTCGCCTACAGAGCCCTTAATGGGCAGGCACCAACTTACCTTAAATAACTCTTTATACCCTACTGTCCTACTAGGGCATTGCATTCCAAGAATGCAGGGTTGTTGGTTGTTCCTAGAGTCTCTAAAAGTACAATGGGAGGCAGAGCCTTTTCTTATCAAGCTCCACATTTGTGGAATCAGCTTCCAGTTTGTGTTCGGGCAGCAGCCAGCCTATCCGTTTTTAAGAGTACGCTTAAGAACTTCCTTTTTGATAAAGCTTATAGTGATAAAATAAAATAATCTAATAAGAGTGCATTGACGTAGATACGTTGTGCCTCTTCACCTATACATTTTAATTCTTACTCTTTCACTTAAATCCTAAAAACGTAGATCTTATTTTTAAAACTGTATCCAAACCTTTCCCCTCTATGACCTCTCGAGGTTTATTAGAGGGTAACAGGTTGCAGAGAACGCCTAGCCCGGCCGGGGAGTGTGGAACGTAGCCTCCTCGGTTGCTCTCCCTGAGGTTTCTCCCATTTTCCCCTTTAAACTGTGGGGTTTTCTCTGGAAGTTTTTCCTTGTACGATGTGAGGGTCTAAGGACAGAGGGTGTCGTATTGTCATACTGATATTCTGTACACACTGTGAAGACCACTGAGACAAATGTAACATTTGTGATATTGGGCTATATAAATAAACATTGATTGATTGATTGATTGATTGATTGATTGATTGACTGATTGATTGATGAAGGAATGTGATTTGATAAAACACATTTAGATAATGCCTAGGTATTAGGTAAAGTAAGAGAAAATGAAAGTTTTGTATTTAAAGTACACACTCCTTGTCAAATTATCCCTCATGCCATGAAAAACAAAGTAGTATCACCAGTTAGAGATCACCATTAAAAGTGAAATATATGTATCATTTTCAGGTCTATACTTCTATTTTGAGTTTCTATTAGCTTCTTCTAACATATTTACACCATTTAATATTAACTTTTTTAACACAAAACCTTATGTCTGCCTGAGCACTTGACACTCTGAAATGCTTGACACATGTTTTATTCAATGTGTAACACTAACAGAGAGAATATGTATGTCACAATTGTGTGGTTCATGCTTCCTGCACACACTTGTAACATATGTATATCTATATTCCACAAAAAATAAATGTTGTGGCATAATGTGTCCTCATTTAAACCCTATATGTTGACACACATCAAGTAAAACTAAAGTAAAACACACCACAGATATAATTTTTTACTAATATTGTAAACGTGTAAAGAAAAACACATCTATTTCTTATAGTATAAATTATCATGAAGTATATTTTTTAAAATACTCTCACTTAATTTAACATCAGCCAGTAGTGTTGAAACAGTAATGATGCTGCCCAAACTCAAGAGGGCAGCAGTACAGCATCGCACGAAGAAGAAAAAATAACGAAGAACAAGTTCGTGTACTGGGGTACTTCCTGTTTCAAAGTCCAGCTGATAACAGTAAATAGTGGATATGTTGTTGTGCAGGAGCTTTATGAATCAAAGTTTATTTATTTCACCGTATCGTGAGAGAGTTTGAGCAACAGACAGACATGCAGCCGTCTGTGGAGTCTCTGGTCCGACTGCTGGAGTCATACAGAGGAAGGGATAAAGTTGTAAGTACACATGTGGTTTATATTTACATGATCATGGGTGCACAACACACATTAGTTTTCGTTTTATACATCACTCATTCCACCTGAGTGTACACCCGCGTTAGACACAAAACAGAATCCTGTATTACTAGGTTTTAAAGGTAATGTTGATGCCTTATAAACCCTTAAGATTGTGTCGCTTAGTACTAGTACTGAAACAGTATACATAAATACTAGTACAGTAGAGTTAGGGTATTTTTCTGATTTCGTTTTTATTTTGCTCGGTGATATTCAGGCAACATAATAAACCAAATAATTGGTTGTTTAAATTGAAATTATTTCCAGAGAAAGTAAAGCATATACAATTAGAAGTATATAAAATAATATATAAAACATAATCTATTAAAGACCAATTAAACACAAATTACAAAGTCACAGATTAATAGCACCATAGTCATCGAGTCTAGTATATTTCTAAACGGTTTACATCTGAATAAAATATAATATGAATAGGTGATGATAGCCTACTTAGTTTTTCTGTATAAATATCAAACTATAATAGAAATACATTCAGATTGTTTTCACTTTACAATCCATCATTTCTACAGATGTTAGTTGCAATACATTTATACTAGACCTGATGCACTGCAGTTCCTTTCCCCTGAGGGTATTTGTCATTTCATGAATAAAGCCATACTTCAAAACATATGAATCATATGAAGCTTATTAGACAGTGGCACTTTTCATGACCTTGAAAAGGACAACAGAAAATAAGATAAACATTTACACAAGTCTTCTTATTGATAAACATCCACGTTTCTTTTTTCCGCTGTTTGTCTTTCCAGATCAGGACGGCCTGTTATGGCTCGCAGCTGGTCGGAGGAGCCCTGTCCCGGAGAGCAGAAGCGGACAATTCATCCCATCGTCTGGGAAAACGTCTTCTGCTGTTCTCCGCTCAGCTCAGCCACTGCCGCACGGTGCTGAGGCTGTTTGATGATCTGTCCATGCTGGCCTACTCCAAGAGCTATGGGTTCGGAGGAAAGGTGAGCCACAAAACAAATCTCTGCTCCCCTCTTTGATAAATCTCATAATCGGAAAACTTCTTCACTTTAAGAAAAGGTGAAAGACTAAATATTGAGTTACTATTCAATAGCTACAGTTCCTATGAAGCTTTGACAGTGGTTGTCTTTGCAAAGACTCAAGATGCACTTTTGAATAATAACGTTTTTAATAAAAAGTAGGACTTTGTTAAAATGGCAAAGTGCAGCAGTAGATATCAAAATATGAGTACAACATGGACAAAATACACTGTTTTAAAACAAATAATTTGTTAGACGCTCTTTGCAAACATTTCTGTTTCTGATAACGATACAGAAAACTTGCACATGGCTTCATGTCTTTTTAAGGAGGAGGATGCAGGCCTCCGCTGGTTATCGGTGCTAAACAATGTGGCCGACCAGCTGTACTACCCCTGTGAACACATCGCCTGGGCTGCTGACGCTGAGCTGATCAGAGTGAAGTCTGATAAGTGGTGGGTGCTCAGTACGGTGCTGTGGGGATCCTCGCTGCTGCTGGCAATACTCAGGTCTGACGTCAGCTCAACACAAACTTCAAATCAAATCTGACTGGAGACACTGACGTAATACAAATGGATCACCAAAATAACAAATGTCACTTATATGACAATTCAGATGTATACAGAATTCATACCTAATTACTTCAATGAATATAATATAATGATAAGGCTGGCAAACTGATTTGCTTATGTTTTTCTAAAATGAACAAACATGCTGGTAGATTTATTTACAGTCAATAAGAAGACAAAAAATAATTATAATATTTGTGACCTGTTTTTAAAGATCTTTAGTGGGAACCAATGGAAATAGTGTAAAGTGAAAATACTGAAAGACAAGCAAAAGATTGTTGTTTTTGGTATTTTTAAGGGATTAGATGGCAGTAAGAAATATATAGAATAATGACAATCTTATCTTTAAAAAATATATATTTGTATCGTGTTATTGTTTTTTATACATCTGTTATAATGCCAATTTGTGTGAATGTTTTGCTCTTTAGATCGCTTCGAGTTTTGATGCTACTGAAGAAGACGTTAAACAGATGTGAGAGCGATGATGGGGGCAACAGCAGGTGTTGTATAAACATTTTGTAACACTTTCTTTGCACCTATTCAAAAGTTGGATGTTCACAGTGAGAAAGAAAATGTCCTGATGAACCTGTGATTGTCTCCTGCAGTCCCTCTCAGCTCCGCAGGCAGATGCGAGGGGAGATTCTCAACATCCTCAGCAGCACAGTTGACCTCAGTAATGCCGTTCATTGGATGCCGCCCGGCTTCCTGTGGGCGGGTCGATTCCCCCCCTGGCTGGTGGGGCTGATGGGCACTATCTCATCTCTGGTTGGTTTGATCCAGATGAACACCGGAGACAGCGAGGAGACTGACAGCACATAGTGTTCACTGCACTGTGAGGAACAGAGGACTGAATGAATGATGTGAACTGATGTAAAATGATGTAGTGAAAGGATGTTTAGCAGATCTTTATCTATGTGATCAGAATCTACTCTGAATGTAATAAGTAAGTAGATCAGTAGACTTTTTGCCAATCATCCAAGTGCTTCATCAGCTGTGATCGAAAGCGTCTTTAGAAAGTGTCAGAAATGAATGAATTAATCAATGAAATGTGAAATGTATGTTAGTCGTTACTTACAGATGTATTTAAATTTTCAGACAGCAGTATTCAGATCCTACATTACAATGAGTTCCTAATGACGTTGGGGTTAATTGGAGGCCACTCCATGGTGTAAAATGTATGGGCTCAAGCACATACGACCTCCTACTTACTGGGATGATAATAGCTAAAAATTGTTGCCTTAAATAATTATACACTCCTTATAACTCATTTTCAATCATGCATTGATGAATTAACCAATTAAGTTGGCCAGTTGGAATACTGAAATTAAAATGATATCCGTCTCTACACTACATTACAGCAACTTATATAAACAGGTTTATACTGAAGTGATTAAATGTTCTAAGTGTACAAACGCAGCTTGCAATGTAAATTGAATTATGCGTTACGTTATTGTAGATTATGATTTTTTTTTTTTTTTTAAATACATTGAATTGTCCTTTGTTGGATCGTTTTATCGCGGATACAAGCGGCCGAGATGGGTTTTCTCCGCAGGGTGGCTGGTGTCTCCCTTAGGGATAAGGTGAGAAGTTCCGTCATCCGGGAGGGACTCGGAGTTGAACCGCTCCTCCTTCCCGCCGAAAGGAGCCAGATGAGGTGGTTCGGGCACCTAGTTAGGATGCCACCTGGGCAGGCACGTCCAGCTGGGAAGAGACCAAGGGGTAGACCTAGGACCAGGTGGAGGGATTATATCTCTTCTGGCCTGGGAGCGCCTTGTGATCCCCCAGTCAGAGCTGGTTGATGTGGCCAGGGAAAAGAAAGTTTGGGGTTCTCTGCAGGTTCTCTGCTGGAACTGCTACCCCCGCGACCCGACCACGGATAAACGGGAGAAGATGGATGGATCGTTTTATCGATGTTTGATTAAACAGGTCTGTACGCGTCAACATGACGTGAGCATCTGTTGCCTTCAGGTGCCGACGAACGGGTCGGGAATGAGAAAAATAGTTTATTTAGCGCATATTTCCATCAACCTTATATAAATAACCCGCCTTTTTCTTTTCAAGAGCAGGATCTTATTTAATTGTTACAAAAAATTACTTTGGGGAAGCTACTTTAAGTACAAATAGCATCGTTAAATAAAACAAACTAAGAAGTTAATATTTGTGTTTAGTTGTTGTTGTCTCAGGATTAGAACAAGTGCTGTCAATATTTTGTGGTTATATGTCATGTGATTTAAGCAAAAGAGGAATAAGAAACTAAAATACTGATGACAACTGGGAAGTAACAACAGCACGTGAACGCACCACAACCACAGAGACCGTGAATAAATAAGAGATGTCGACTCGACAACAATGACAAGAAAACTCAGTTTTACACCGTAACTTTCTTTAAACTCTTGGATTATGTGATATAGTATGATGTCACCGTGCTGCTGCTGTTAGTATGACGAATAAAACAAAGCCAAAGTTTAGGAAAATAAGTGTTTGCCAAACCACGTCAAATCATCTGTCGTGGCACCCAGAGGAGTGTGTGGGCACAGAGAAACCGAGAAAGACGCAATAAATCAGGTGAGAGTTGTCTTTTCGATGCCTAAACAACATTTTTTTACACAGAACTTCCATATGTTGTTAATGAGCTCCCATTGGCTTGTTGTAGGTTTTAATTAGCTAGTTAGCATTGAGCTAATGTCACATAAAGTCTACTTTTTATCGCCAAATTGAGATGTAGGATTGAGTATTAGAGGGTGTTTTACAGGATCCCAGTTTGATTTGTTTTCTAAAACAGCCAGCATGACCTTTTTTCTGAAACCCTGGCTTCCTCGGTTCAACCACTGTGGAATACACATGAATGCGTCTTTTGTGACCCAGTATCCAAAACAGAGATATTATGTTGCATTGAAATGTATGTAGTCCCAGCTGAATGAGTTTTCATTCAGAAAGGTTTCATAAATAGGCTTTGAGGGTCTGTTTTATGGTTGCACATATTGCACATGTTGTCCTTGTACTTTGAGCTGTAGGCTTGTTTCTTTATCTTGATGGTCATGATGTTGTGTGGTTGTACATCACATAGTGCTATAGCTTTAACAAGTGTGTCTTGCACAAAATACTTTACAGGGGATAGTTTTGTTGTGTTTTCTACAGGCAGTTGTGTTAGTGCTGTAGCTATGTATGCATGCAAATAGAAGCTAAGTGAACCCATTTTCTCATGGCCTCTTAACTTAATTATGTTTTTCTCAAATAGGCTGTCTTTTAAAATGGACTCAGACGTCTGCCCTGTCTATCAGTCCGACTCCTTGTGTTCTGCTACTGTTCCCGTCGATGAAGCCTCTGAGGGTGGGGCCAGAAGACAGACTGAAGCAGCTCCGCCAGGTTCAGAGGTGGAAGATGTTGAATCCTACAACCTGATCGAGCCTCCTCCGTTAGACTGGAGGTCTGATTCCTCCAGTGAGGCGGGCTCCGAAGATGACCTGGAGGACCCCACCTTCCCTCCTTCTGCTGACAGTCTGGACAAGGCCACTCCGAATGAGCCAGTTTTACTATCTTTGAGTGACACTCTGGCTATGATCGGCGTGAACCTGCAGGAGCTTGTGGGAGCTGTTTCAGAACCAGTACATGTGGAGGTAGAATTGGAAGAAAAGGAAGAAACAGTTGAGAAGGAAGAGGAGGTGAGGGTTGAGGACTTGGAGGATGTTGGGCATTGCCAGGAGGAGATATGTGTCGTGGAGCAAAGGGTGAATGAAGAAGATGTGGTGTTGGCTGTCAGGAGATCAGATGATGATGATGAAGATCACAGCCGCATCCACAGCCTGCTCAGTCAGCTGCAGCTGCTGGCGGAAGAGCCTCAGCCCACCTGCCGGACACCCCCCCACCTGGCTCAGCAGCAGTACTCCGACCTCTGCTCCCCCTCCCTCATAACAGACGACAGCACTGAGTCCACCGGGCTGCTGTTCTCTAAGAGCCACCAGAGAGACCTGCAGGGTCTGCTGCAGTACACAGAGATCAGAGCCACACCCAGCCCCCCCGGTCAGCCCCACAGAGGAGACATGGACGCTGTGGTGTCCGTTTCCTACAGCCAGGAGGACGCTCACAGGTTCTGGGGACATAATGGTCAACAGCAGCTACAGAGGGAGGACTCGCTGCCTGATGAGGAGTATCCTGAGCCTGTGTGGATGAAGACGGGCGAGGAGCCTCCGGAGGAAAAGGAGGCTGCTGCAGAGAGCGAGCAGGTAGGTTCAGGTTCTATTCAAGAAAATATAAATGATAGACTCCAAAATGTGCCTCACCAGATTCATTCATAGATTTCGTCTCTTCTAAACAAAATATTAATTGATTCTAATACATTTTGAAATACATATTGTTTTGTATTCCACACATTTGTGTAAGAAAGATTTGTGTCAATTCAAAGGAATTCAACACATTAAATTAGATAAGATGAATTGCATTTGTTTATCAAAAGAGTTTTTGAAATTGAACCAATGATAACATGTTTTAATGTCATCTTAAATGATAAATTAGGCAAATTGCAATCTTTGAAATTCTCCTGAACTGTTTTGATTTATTATTTTAAAACCATGTTATTAGATATTGACATTTTAATAATGTCTCTATTTACTGTCATCACAGAGTGCAGATCATCCTTCATATAAAGACGGTAAGCCACTTAAAATCACCTTTTTCATGATTTCTTCTGTGTCAAATCTTATTAAAAAATAAATAAGGAGAAGTCCTGGTCTGCTTTAATTTATAACCGATGATATGTATGTATTTTACTCCTGTAGTGCCTGGTCCATGTGACCCTGAAGATCTGTTGGATGGAGTGATCTTCAGTTCCAAGTACCTGGGATCCACTCAGTTGAAATCTGAGAAGAACCCGTCTACAAACGCCCGTATGTCGCAGGCTCAGGAGGCTGTGGACCGCATTAAGGTGAACTCAAATAAAACATATTCTCAGAGTGGGCACTGAAGCACAGCAGATGTTGTTGTTTTGTCATGGACTAGTTTTAAAATCACGGCTCTAGCTGTTTCTTTGTACTGTCATGAAGATAGTCATACAAATCTTATCAGTGTGACTGGTTCTGTTTCAGGCTCCAGAGGGAGAGTCCCAGCCAATGACAGAGGTGGATCTGTTCATCTCAACACAGCGAATCAAAGTTCTCACTGCTGACACTCAGGTGTGTTTTTGTCTCGTTCATTGACTTTACTTTGATATTTCAGGTAATGCATCATCTCAACATACTGCACATATATTTAAAAAATAACCATAGTTTTAGGGTGTCTTTTTTATTTAATTGATTTTGTTAACATTTTGGTTTCAGTCGTAGTTTACAAATGATATGCTTTAACATGTGAGGTTTTATTTGATCTCTCATACCAGGACCATGATATTTTAAATTATTACATGTAATCAAAAGGAATATTTGGTTATCATTTTATCAAATAATTGGGAGCTGAAATAATTTAAAACAAATCTTCAACCTCTCAAACTCAATAGATTTAATGAGATAAAATGGCTGCAACATTTGACATATATGAAACTTGTTTTTTTCTACAAGGCAATACAGACTCAGCTGAAAAAAAACTAGAAAAAGAAAGTTGTTATTTGTAATGGATCATCTATTTTAAGCAAGTCTCTGCAAGTTGAATTGAAAAGCAAACCTTCCTGTCTTCTCTCGCCTTCTATTTTTATTAACACATTCATGTCTTGTTTCCACTCAGGAAGCCATGATGGACCACGCTCTGCAGATGATCTCTTATATTGCAGACATCGGCACCATTGTGGTTCTGATGGCACGAAGGAAACGTAAAGGACAGGATGCTGACCCCGCCTCCAAGTCTTCCTCCACATCCTCCTCTGTGCCTCAGAAGAAATACTCAATGATCTGCCACGTCTTCTTATCTGACGATGTGAGTTGATTATGTTTTTGTCATATCATGAACCCAACAGCTGGTACAGGATTACAAAAGAGTTTCCTGTTCTGCTTTATTTGATCCTCAATGTGGCCACAACTTCATCCTTTGAAATCACCAGTAGAGCATTTAGCTGCAGATAATGTGTTTACTGGAGCATTTAGCTAAACACATTATTAAGGTGTCTTTTGCTCCCCTCAATGTTGCGTCTTTGCTCTGGACAACAGTCTCAGATTCAGCTTGACCTGGTTTCCTTCCCCCAGACAGACAGCGAGTTCTCCTGAATATAAAAATGGTCTGGCGGTCGTCCCAGTTTCCCACTGTTGGCAAGACTGAATAGGGGGAGGAAGGGTCTCTTTTTAGAACGTAATTAGCTGTGGGATACTGAATGCCATAGGGCCACTGCTTGTACTACTTTTTTCCCAACTAAACTGTTAACATATGAAGAGCTGTATAAGAAATGTATTTATAGATACAGTATATATACCTTTGTTATATTTGACTGAGCTGTGTTCAAACCAATGGTAAAATACTCACTATTGTTACTGTTTTGCAATAGTATCACTAATTCAATGTTGAAATAAATGTATTTATATATCACAGCTTCTCATGGTTTAGTGTTTAACTTTAAAGTGAGATTTACAATGAATAGGGTAACAGATAAGTCACCTTTCACAGGAGTTTTTTGTTGTTTTTGTTTTAGGGTGTGACATGTGTTTTAGGCGCACTGTTTAATGTTTTGCAAATTAACTAATTTGCCTTCATTTGTTCATATGAAAACAAAGGGTAGAAAAGTGAAGGAACAATATTTATTTAGCAAATTGGACCTAAGTCAGTTCTCTCTCCTCTCCTTGTCTCTTCATCCAGGCTCAGGTGATCGCCCAGGCCATCGGTCAGGCGTTCGGTGTGGCCTACCAGCAGTTTCTCCAGGCCAGCGGCATCAAGGCCAGTGACCTGAGGCCGGGCGAGTACAGTGACTACCTGGAGAGTCAGGAGCTCTACAACGGAGACCTGGCCCACTTCTCCGACTCTCAGAACATCCGAGATGTAAGCACAGTGATTGTGACTTAGTCTTAACACAAAGCACAGTCGGCTAATTGTTGTTGTTAGGATGTAAATTGATGTTGTTAGAAAAAGACACTAAGAAAGCAATGGGAGAGAAGTAATCTATAAAGCAAAAACACAACATTTCTAAGATTAAAGTCCTAAATGTAAGATAAAAACACTTCAGTGAGATTAAAGTCAAGAAAAACTCAAATATTTACCAGATTCTTTTGTCATGTCACCACATTGCTGGATTTTGCCAAGTTATATAAATCTCATCACACCAGAGTAAACCGGTTTACAGGAAATGTCAAAAGCATGCGTTATTGAGGGGTTGTAACAGAATGACACATGTTGATAACCTTGCTATTTCCAATGCGTATTTTCTTTTACATTTGTGAGTTTGTTCTCTCAATTAAACTTCTTTAATCCTGGATAAAATCAAAGTTTTTATCCCACAGTGGCCCCAATTAGGCGTTGCAGCAGCTGTAATAAACTTGGCTCTATGAATAACAATATATTTCAATACTGACCCTGAAAAAGATAAATATAGAGAAATAATTGGTCAAACAAATAATATTTTTTTCTTTGCTGTCTATCTTAGGTAGCCATCACAAAGGCTGCTGGAGAGATCTTGGGCCTGGCGGTGGTGGAGTCGGGCTGGGGCTCCATCCTGCCCACAGTGGTTGTGGCCAACCTCCTCCATGGGGGGGCGGCTGAGCGCTGCGGCGAGCTGAGCATCGGGGACCGCATCATGTCGGTGAACAGCACCAGCATGGTGGGGCTGCCCATCACCACCTGCCAGAACATCATTCGGGTAAGAAGGGAAGACGGAGTGGAAATAAAAATTAGAATGACTCTTATAACCGTACATATTTCAACAGCAATTAAAGTGTTATTGATATTATGCTGGAATGGCAGAGTTTATTTAATTGATTGTGATTTCTGCCTTCTTTAAAGCAAGTGTTATGTCTTAAGGATGCACTAGATGGCACTGTGTGTTTTGTTTTTGTATTGATTTGAAAGTGGATTTAGATATATTACATTACATTACATTTAGCTGACGCTTTTATCCAAAGCGACTTCCAATAAGTGCGTTCGACCAACAAGATACAAACTTGAAGAAAACAAAATCATATAAGTACATCAGGTTTCATAGAGCTAAAACATTTCAAGTGCTACTCAACTGGCTTTAGATAAGCCAGTCCTTTATTAGTATATAAGTGCTTTGTTAATAGTTCTATTGCTCAAAGTGGAGTCGAAAGAGATGAGTTTTAGT